TAGCCCCTGGCATCGCAGCGGCAGGGCCCCCCCCCCCCCCCCCTTTCCCCCTTGTCCATCCTCAAACCGTGGGGCAGCGCGGTGGCCTGGTGGCCTGCGGCCGGGCAGCAGCTCTGGCTGGAGGGCAGGGGACGCACCGGCTCGTTTCTGCCCTAAATAAACAGGGACAAGCCCGCTGTGTCTTCTTTATGGCCTTGCTATGGCTCCGGTGTGCGGCTGCCTCAGCGCTAGCTTGGGGAGGCCGGTTGGTGCCCTGGTGCTCCCACAGCCCATCCATGAATGCACAGGTTCCCCCCACGTTATCCCGCAGGCAGGCCGGCCCCTCTGCTCTGCCATCGCTTCCCAGCTGCTCAGCCCCAGAAGAGGGTTCGGAGCAAACAGAAGCAAAAATATATAACTGAGGAAGCAGTTGCACAGATTGGGCCATTGGGAGCTAGTTAGTTGCTCTTTGGCGTGAAGTTGGTTTTTTTGCTCGTGAGGTGTTTGCATCCTTATAAACAAGCTATTGAGAGGAGAGAGGCTGATCTGCAGCCAGCTCCCGCAGCTGGGAGCTCGGCCTCGGCCTGGCCACAGGGAGGGGGCAGTGGCACCTGTGTTTTTTCAGGCTGACCCACAGTGTCCAAAAAGTGTCACAGTAAAAAGGACTCAGTCTTTCAGTGACTCACGCAGGTCACAGGCAATGTCTGTGTCTAGAACCAAACCACCCCACAGGTCAGGACGAGCTCTCCGGCACAGCCCTTCCTCTGGGTCCATTTCTGAGGGTGCAAGCCAGCCCCGCCAGCTGAGGTGTGGGGGCTGGGCAGGGCAGCACGGGGGCCCCCACACATCTGCCCCACTGGCTCCCACCCAGTGCTGTTGGTGCCAGGATGGCCAGCCTGCCCTGCTGCCTTCCCTGCCTGCATCCCATCCTGCCCGCAGAGAGCCTGGGTGCAGCTCATGGGGCTGTGCCGGGGTGCCCGAGCCAAGAGCATGAAACCACCCTCCCTTGTCCCTGCGCTGGAGGGATGCTGCAGCACACAGGAGCGGTTGCGGATGGATAAGCTGGGCAGCAACACGGCAAGAAGAGCCAATGATGGGAAGAGGCAGAAGCATTAACACCCAGGCAGGTCTTTGCGGGAGAAGCCAACGCACAGTGATGTCCCCTGGCTGGGTGGGTGGCTGGGGTAAAGCCACCCCACAAGAATGGTTCCCAGGCTGGCCCATGCTGTATGGGCTTAGGGAGAGACACGTGGCCACAGGAGAGATCCTCACATGGCTGGGTAGCAAGAGCTTTACCTGGCTGTGGCCCTGGGGACACAGATGTTGTCCTTCCTCCCTTGCAGTTGGCAGCAGGGATTCAGTCCTCGCCCAGGCGCTTTCTGAAACAGCAAAACACCTGGCTGGGCGGCCTTTAGGCTGGCATCGCAGCAATGTCAGGAGTTCCCCAGCTCCATCCTTGGGCAGGCGCTCTTACTGCTGCATCCAGCAAAGCCATCACCCCTCAAGGCACGTCACTGCCAGTTTGCTCCCAACAGCATCTTGCGGCTGATCACGCCAGGGTAGGAACCACGCTCCTGCGGCTGCCGAGGGGGTCCCGGCAGGGCAGCGCTCCTGCCTCGGACAGTGTCCTCGCCTCACTGGGGACAGCACAGCAGGGCAGCATCCCTCGCCACCCGCTCCGCCCCGGCCGGCTCACACCATGGGTGTTGCCTCCGGCATATTTCCCATTCCAGTCCGCTTTTTCAGACACTGGGTAACCTGGTTCTGGCGAGTTCTTTGCAGAATGGCCTCGCTGTTGAGCCCTGCGGGAGTGGCTGACGCCTTCTTCCCCCCGGTGCAAGCCGTTTCCTTCCTGCCGTGCCACTGGCCCCACACTGCTCCCGTCCAGCCCCAGGGCTGGGGCTGCTGCGGCTCTGCTTGGCTCACTCGAGTGGCTTGGGGACCGGGAGCAGTGTCACAGTGCTGTCACCACTCCAGGGCTTCCCAGGGAGTTGTGAGAGTAGGCTGGCTGCCCTGGGCTGGCTCTCCTTACAAGGGAAAAGCAAATAGGCGCTGGCTGGTCGAGCACAATTGTTTGTGTCCCAGGGCGAGGTGTTGTGCTCAGGTTAAGCTAAGCTAAAGGGTCCCAGCGAGGTGGGCTGTCCCCTGGCAGTCTTGGCATCGGCACTCTTATGGGCAGCCAGCACTCCCACCCTGCCAACATGAAACCTGGCAGGGGGTGGCAGGGCGTGGGACCACGTGTGGGACTGCCTTCTCCCGCAACAGAGCCAGGTTTGTGTAAACTCATTGCAAAACTGTTTTTACAGGATGCTTCTTGTAGGGCAAGAGTGAGCTACCTTCACAGCACCACCTGGCCCTTTTCATACCCACTGCCACGGCAGGAGTGCTCTGCCGGCTCTTTTCTGGCAGTATTTAAGAAAAAAAACAACCCCAAGCTGCTGGTGCTGGACAAGGTCCCCCTGTGACACTCCTTGTGTGACAACCACATGCCCAGTCCAGAGGCTGGAGAAACACCTGCTTGATGGTGCTGGGCTCTGGCTCAAAATAGGCATCATGGTAAAAGCATCAGAAAGAGGGAGGTAGGTTTGCAGGGCAGGAAGCTGCCGGCTGCCTGAGCCAAGCTCAGGCAGGAACATGCAGCTGCCTAGTGTTTGTGCAGCCATCTGGGGAGAAGGTATCGCCTCAGCCAAGGTGGTTATTGCCCCCCTACATCTTACCCTGAGCTTCTACTGCCTCCTGGAAAGCCATTTGCTGTCGACAAGGATTTCCCAACTACTTAAAACCTGAAAGCTCAGACTATTTGGATGAAAGCTAAAGCCATCAGGGGGCTCTCTGGGAACAAACCAGATAAGCTTTGAGTCAGACAGAGCTTGCTCGGAAAGTAAACACAACTTCCAGCCATGCAAAGCACGACAGTTCAGGCTATGCCTAATAA